ATTATTTTGTATGCAACAGAGGATAAAATTGGGAGATTGTGTGATGAGAGGAGAGACTGCTTGCAAGTGTTTTAAGAATTTGAAGTGTTTAGTTGAAATTATAATTATTTTTCGACGTCGACATGATCAATCGACAACCCCTGGATATCGAACTTTTTTTTTTTTTTTTTGGGTACTCATTTATGGTGCGTGTATCCTTACCATGGAAGACGCGCAAATCAAATCATGCTAACTTTTTTCAAAAAGAATTTTGTCTCTTATTAATTTTGGAGGCTATCTTTTTATATGTAAATTTTTTCTATATTTTTTTGTTTTTTTTTCTTAAAGAGAAAAAAGCAATTGTAAATTTTGTTTTAATTGTAAAAAAATTTAAAATCCTCCCCTATGTTTAAACACAACCATACGATTTAAAAACTTTTAAGCCTTTCTCTTCATATGTAATTAATAATAATCCCACATACAATCAAGTTTTTTTTAAAAAAAAACAATTTAAAAAATTTAAAAATTTATAATAGTAATAAAAGGAAGACTTATGTAAAATAATAATTATTGTAATTATTTATTGCAAATGATTTTTTTTCAATGTTGTTTATACGAAAGTATGAACGAGTTTATTATACAAAGTAATTATCCTTACATATAATGATAAAAGAAATGTTTGAGTTTATTAAACTAAATTCTTCGACGTTTCCTAGGTTCCGAAATAGTTGACACTTTTTCTGAACTTATTAATTGCGTGTTACTCTCATTATTTTGAGGCAATGTAGTGGTCGAAACTGTTGATACTTCTTTTAACCTTTGACGTATCGAGAGGGTTGTGGAGGTTTGTGAATCCTATATTAAAAAAAGACTTTGTTAACATTGTTACGTTTGTTACGTGTTATTTATGTTCTTATATCAATAGAAATTAATATTACATAGGGTTGAGTAAACTTTAATGGATATGACGTCGCAGCAAAACTTGTGGATTCGTAATCGATGCCGGGTATTGGAGGTTCCTGGTTATATTGGTAATCAACACCGGGTATTGGAGGTTCCTGGTTATGTTGATAATCTACACCTTGTTCCTGACTATGTTGACTATGTAGAAAAGTGGAATTTGTGCTTGAATATTAAAAAAATTGATATATATATTTTTGATCGATACCTACTTACCTATAATACATTGAGTAAGGATATGAAGAATAATAATCCGAATACATGTAATTGGTATGATCATACATTTGTGGATAGGATGGCAATGAAGAAGATGATGATGATGACGATATGGATGGCGGGAGAGAAGTAATATTAGGCGTTGCCGATTTAGCATCTAAAGTAATAAATTTATTCGTTATTAATATCATAAAAAACTTTTTAAATATAAAAATAAATACCTTTATTTTCATTATGTTCGCGAGTCTTAATAGCAACAACATTGCGCCTATCCTGTAATTTTTGTCGTGTATCCTCGATAGATTCATACTCAGGTCCGTAACGTACTCTTAGATAAGAGCTGAAGAAAGAGTGATCATCAACTTTTTTCTTTGCCACTCTAAAACATTAATAAAAATTTATGTGAATTTTTAAAGATTTAATAGTAGTTTCTTTTTTAAAAAAAAATATTTACCTAGCCTCATTAAGTGATTGAAACTTTATCCAATATACATCTGTAAATTTTTCACATGGATAATCATCCAAATACCGATATCTTAAGAATTCACAAATTTTTTAATTATATGCAAAAAAAAAAGTTTATAAAGTTTATCAAAAAAAAAAAAAAAAGCTCACTCTTCAATGGTTCCATAAAGAGAAAAAAGCTCTAATAATTCTTTACTTAAACCCAATGCTGGTACATTCTCTACAACTAAATATCTATTAAAATATTTTGATTAAACTTGATAACTTTTACAAAATAAATCATAATGAAAACAATAATAATAATAATAAACCTAGATTCATGGTTTACAGTATAGATTTTAACAGCAGTTGGTTTACGACCCGCTCTATATTTTGGTCTTTCAGGTGGCGCTAATATATTATATTTAATTATTAAATTAATAAGTTAACTTTAATTTCATTCATCAAAGATTTTAATAAAAACTTTTACCATCAGAATCACTCATTATTATATCTCGAGGACGAATTAGAGAATGATTTACTAATAAAACCATCATATTTATAAAGAAATAGTTATGACATAGTAACACAAATTCTTTTATTTTATTTTTTTTATATTTCAATGAGCCAGTGCATCCATCATATGTACTTTATTATACGCTTTTTAAAAAAATATATATTAGAATTTAAAATTATTCATATCAAAAGAGATGTCACAAATTAAAGCCATTAATAACTAAGAGAAATTTATCCTCGCTACTTTGTCGGAAAGCTCATATTTCCTTTTTTTTACTGTATTTAACAAGACTCGATGAAAATAATAATAATAGTAATAATTTTTGAATTTTATAATTGTTTTACACTATGTAATTTAATTATTAGTTAAAAAAAAATATTATATTAATATACTTTCTCTTTATAAAGAGTATTATGATATTAAATAAATATATAATAGTAAGCTTCAACTCTATACGTAGGGTTGTTAGTTGAATAGCCTACTCCGGAGCCACTTCAGGTTGAGCGGAGTTGCTTTAAAAATACGTTTATAATTTGAGAAAACCTGAAGCAACCGAAGTAGTATTCTAGAGTAAGCCTAATTTAATGGAGTGGGTGAAGATTGAGTCATCCAAACAAAACTCAACCTTATCTAGACGGTAGAGGCCTGCACGGGCCGGGAATTTAAAATTTTTTAAAACATAGTAAAATTGCGGACCTGAAATGCTAAGAACGCGGGCCGAACGTTTTAAAAACATAGTAAAATTGCGGACCTGAAATGCTAAGAACGCGGACCGAACGTTTTAAAAACATAGTAAAATTGCGGACCTGAAATGCTAAGAACGCGGACCGAACGTTTTAAAAATATAGTAAAATTGCGGACCTGAAATGCTAAGAACGCGGGCCGAACGTTTTAAAAACATAGTAAACCCTTATTTGCGGGCCGCGCGGGCCGGCAAAACAATTATTTTATCAGGCCCGTGCAGGACTATATGGAATGCCTTATATAATGAATAATAAAGATTACATTATTATAATCTTTGGAAAGAAACTAGCAAGATTTTTCTATACATCTTCGTTATTCGTAGCTAGTATTTGCTGAGCATCTTTATTACATTAAGGAATCTGAACCCCTAATACCGCTGCCCGAAAATCTGGCAGTAAAGTGATCCATCAAACATGATTAGCGCGTCCTTGGATCGAGCAGATCCAATAAATATCCTTTTATTCGACATGTCTTATGTGAATATCGCACGATAAAATAATTGTTTTGCCGGCCCGCGCGGCCCGCAAATAAGGGTTTACTATGTTTTTAAAACGTT